GATGTGGATGGAGTAAAGCTTTCTGGACTTTCATATACTGATGTGGCATGACCCAAAATGAGAAGAAACAGCTGCAAGTATCCATTAATAATCAGAATGTAGAATGTACAAAGTATGAATATAAAAAAATTGGAAGTTGTCAAAAATGAAATGGTAACAAAAAGATCATTATCTTAGGCTCTAGTGAGCTGAAATGGACTGGTATTGGCCATTTTCAATCAGACAACTGTATGGTCTACTATGTTGGAAATGCTAACCTGAAGAGGAATGGCATCACATTCATTGCTAAAAAGAACACTGCATTATCTATCCTTAAGTACAATGCTGTCAGTGATTGGATAATATCCATAAGCCTACAAGGAAAACCAGTTAATACTTCTATTATTCAAATTTATGTACCAATCACTAAAGTCAACAATGAAGAAATTGAAAATTTTTATCAACTTCTGCAGTCTGAAATTGACCAAACATGGAATCAAGAAGCATTGATAATTATTGGTGATTGTAATGTGAAAGTTGGAAATAAAGAAGCAGCATTGGAAAATATGGCCCTGGTGATAGAAATGACATAGAAGATCACATGGCAGAATTCTGAAGGACCAAGGACTTATTTATTGCAAATACTTTTTATCAGTAACATAAATGGCAACTGTATCAGTGGCCTTCACCAGATGGAATATACAGGAATGAAACTGATTACATCTGTGGAAAGAGGAGATGGAGAAGCTCAATGTCATTAGTCAGAACAAGGCCAGGAGCTGACTATGGAACAAACCTTCAATTGCTCATGTGCAAGTTTAAGTTGAAGCTGAAAAACTTAAATAAGTCCAAGAGTGCCAAAAGATGACCTTGAATATATCCCACCTGAATACAGAGACCAACTCAAGAAAAGACTTGATACACTGAACACCAGTGACTGAAGACCACATGAGTTGTGGGATGACAACAAGAACATCATACATGAAGAAAGCAAAAGGTCATCAAAAAGTCAGGAAAGAAAGAAAGGACCAAAATGGATATCAGAAGAGACTCTGAAACTTGCTCTTGAATGTAGAGTAGCTAAAGTGAATAGAAGAAATGATGAAGTAAATGATCTGAACAGAAGATTTCAAAGAGTGGCTCAAGGAGACAAAGTATTATAACAAAATGTGCAAAGACCTGGAGTTAGAAAACCAAAAGGGAAGAACATGCTTGGAATTTCTCAAGCTGAAAGAACTGAAGATCAAATTCAAGCCTTGAGTTGCAATTTTGAAGGATTCTATGGGCAAAATATCAAAAGATACAGGAAGCAACAAAGAAGATGGAAGGAATATAGAGTCATTGTACCAAAAAGAATTGGTTGATATTCAAACATTTCAGGAGATAGCATGTGACCAAGAACCAAGAGTATCAAAGGAAGACGTTCAAGCTGCACAGAAGGAATTGGTGAAAAACATGGCTCTAGGAATTGATGGAATACCCACTGAGATGTTTCAACAAATGTATGCAATGCTGGAAGTGTTTATTGCCAAGAAATTTGCAAGATAGCTATGTGGCCAACTGACTGGAAAACAGTCATATTTATGCCCATTTCAAAGAAAGGAGATCTAACAGAGTATGGAAATTATATAAAAAAATCATTAATACCACATGCAAGTCTAATTTTGCTGAAGATAATTCAGAAACAGTTGCAGCAGTACATAGACAGGGAACTGTCAAAAATTCATACCATATTCAGAAGCTGACAGGAAACAAGGGATACTGCTGATGTCAGATGGATCTTGGCTGAAAGCAAAGAATGCCAGAAGGATGTTTACCTGTGTTTTACTGACAATGCAAAGGCATTTGACTGTGTGGATCACAACAAATTATGGATAACACTGCAAAAAACAGGAATACCAGAACACTTAATTGTGCTCATGAGGAACCTACACACAGACCAAGAGGCAGTCATTCAAACAGAACAAGAGGACACTGAATGGTTTAAAATCAGGAAAGGTGTGCATCAGGGTTGTATCCTCTCACCATATTTATTCAACCTGTATGTGGAGCAAATAATCCAAGAAACTGGACTATATCAGGTTTGGAGGAAGACTCATTAACAACCTGGTGGGATATGCAGATGATAAACCTTCCTTGCTGAAAGTAAAGACAACTTGAAGCATTTACTGATGAAGATCAAATACTACAGCCTTCAGTACAGATTACATAAATAAAACAAAAATCCTCACAACTGGACCAATAAGCAATGTCATGATAAATGGAGAAAAGAATGAAGTTGTCAAAGATTTCATTTTAGTTGGATCCAGAATCAACACCCATTGAAGCAGCAGTCAAGAAATCAAATGACATATTGCATTGGGCAAATCTGCTGCAAAAGACCTCTTTAAAGTGTTAAAAGCAAAGATGTCACTGACTCAAGGGACTATCTTTTCCGTAGCTTCATACACATATGAAAGCTAGACAATGAATAAGGAAGACCGCAAAAGAATCAATGCATTTGAACTGTGGTGTTGGCAAAGAGTACTGAATATACCATCGACTGCCAGAAGAACAAACAAATCTTCCTTGGAAGAAATACAGTCAGAATGCTCCTCAGAAGTAAAAATAGCCAGAATTTGTCTCCTGTACTTTGGTCAGGTTATCAGGAGGGACTAGTCCCAGCAGAAGGATATCATTCTTGGCAGAAAGTCAGTGAAAAAAGGGAAGACCCTCAATAAGATGGACTGACACAGTGGTTGTAACAATGGGCTGAAGCATGGTAATGATTGTGAGGATAGTGCAGAACCGGGAAGTATTTCATTCTGTTGTTGTACGTGGAGTCACTGCGAGCTGGAAGTGACTCAACTGCACCTAATAACTCCTCCTCTCACTTATCAACTATCTCATTATCCGACATTTCACATTTATGATGACAGTAAAAAATCTACTGACTATTTTACACATTAACTATGTATGTCTGGCAGTAACAAATGCCAAGTACTGAGGCAAGAGTAACACTGGCTGTGATGGTTAAGGTTATGTGTTATCTTCTTGGCTGGGCCATTATTCTCTGTGGTTTATCAGTTAATACTAATGTGAAATACGGTAGTCATGCAATGATTGGAAGTCATCCTCCATTTTGTGAGCTAATGTTGTCATCCTCTATTTTCATATAATGCTGCTTTTTGCATAATGACCTGGTCTTTAGAACCTAACTATGTTGATAATTGAGGAGTGGATATATAACAAAATCTGCCATTTTCATCATTTTTAAGTGTACAAGTTAATGGCATTAATTACATTCCCAATGCTGTGCAATGTTGTGCACTATCAATTTCCAAAATTTTTTCATTGCCCTTTCTAAACTTTTTGAAAATGTTCTACTGGGAGCTCTGATAGTGTAGTGCCTAAGGCATATGACTTCTAACCAAAAGGCTAGTGGTTCAAACCCACTAGCCACTCCTTGGAAGGAAGGCTGGGCAATCTACTTCTGTAGAGATACTGCCTTGGAAACCCAAGGATACTCTAGGATACACTTCTGTTTCAGAATTTCAATTATTCTAAGATATTCAAAAGGGAGAGTTCCTCCTCTTACTTTCTTTCCATGGCTCATTAGCTGGTAGTTAGCCTACAGTTTTTTTTCTTTCTCATCTTTTCTACTTCAAGCTCTGCTTTTCCCCTACCTGTTCCAGAATCATCACCTTTGTTTCCTGAGGACTGGGGACTTTGGGAATGGAAGGCTGGAGGAGAACTGATGTCCAGGGTGGAGAGCAGGCTTCTGAAATAAACCTTTGCCTCCTTTTTAAAGGCTATTCCTTGACCACAGCTTCCCTGAAGTGAGCACATCATCCAAGGCAGTGAATCAGTGTGAAATACATGTTATCCTTTAACAAAACCAGGAATCAGGCAGCCTTGATTCAAAAATAAAAGTCCTTTAAAGCAACAAAGGTGAATATTATTACATATACAATCCTGCAATAATAGTAATATCCGCAATGTAGGAATGGATGCATAGGGAGACTCTCAAGCAGAACAGGGGTGGGAAGGTGAATGGGACTACATCTGAGAATATATACAGGTTTGACAGTGGCTATCTCTACCTATATATTTATATGTACAGCAAATATACCCATGAATGTAGTACAGCATACAAGGGACAAAGTTATGGAAATGTCTTATTCATAACCAAACTGCTGGATATGGAGGCATAGGACCATAGTCTCAGAGGACCCTAAGGTCAACTGGCATAGCATAGTTCACAAAGACAATGTTCTACACTGTACTTTGGTGAACAGTGAACTGGGGTCCTCAAAGCTTATAAGCAGCCAACTAAGGTGCAACCATTTGTCTCTCCTCATCTGCAGCAAAGAAGAGTGAAGAAAATCAAAGACAAAGGAAACAATTGGTCCAAAGGACTAATGGAGCATGAACCTCAGCCTCCATAACCTTGAGACCAGAAGAACTAGATGGTGCCCAGCTACCACTGCTGGCCACTCTGACAGCAATCACAATAAAAGGTCCTGGACAGAGTGGAGGAAAATGTGGAACAAAACTCAAAAATCATAAAAAAAAGATTAGGCTTACTGGTCTGATGAAGACTGGTGGAACCCCTGAGACTGTGGCCCTTAAGACACCTTTGAAGCTAGGAACTCAGCTTCACCCCTGTGACTCAACTGGCAGCCAAATGATAGACAGACTTACAAGGTCAACAATAGTATCAGGGGTGTGAGCTTATTACAACAATCAAGCACAAGAGATCAGGAGGACAGCATTTGCCCAGGGATCAAACTAGGAAGGAGAGAGGGGATGGGAAGGAAAAATAAAGGGAAGGGGTGGGTACAGGGAAGAGTGAGAAGAATGCTGTTACTATGTGGAGATTGTAGTAAATGTCACAAAACAGGATGTTCAGGGATTGCTGAATGGAAAACCAATTTGTTCTGTAAACTTCCACCCAAATTGTAATGAAAAATAAACAAATAAATAAACAAACTCTTTGCTATCGGGATTTTCTAATTTACCTCCTGCTACATCTTACCTACCTCTTTCAAGTGCTGTGGAAGAGAATGTCCAGGGGCAAAGATGTACTTTGTCTTCTTATAAATGTACCACATCAAGGCAAAGCAGCCAAGAAGCACAAGGAAGACCATGAAAACCGAGGCGATGAGGATGATGGCAATGATCCAGGAGGGGGTAGTTTCTGCCAGAGATAAAGGGGTGGCTTAAGTGGGTGTATCACATTCTTGTTATGTACAGGTTCAGATGCAATGACTGTAACAGTGTTTTAACCATCACAATACAACGGCTATCTCTAAGTCCATATGCTCATGTTGGAAGGAGTTCAGGAGGAAACACAGCAGCTGGTTCAAAGATGCAGAGCTATGTCCAACAAGTTTCACCCTTTTCCCATGTCTTCTTTAAAGCTTAGTTTCTGGCAGTATTGCTGATATTCATGAAAATAATTAGCAAGAACTCTGATCCACTTTGCCTACTTGCAGTGTAACCATGAGCCCCTTTTCCTGGATAAATCTCTTCTGCCTGAAGTAGAAGGAACTTTCCTGGGTCTACAGCATTAAATACATGCATTGCAGGGTTCTATATCTAGGATGTTGCCACTGGTCTCCTCATGGTCCTGGCTCCCTTTATTCAGCACAAGGCCCTCCTCCTACTGCCCTAAGCTCCCTTACGCCAACTCTTCCCAACCACCTCCTCTTCCATGATCAAAACCCAAGCACTCGGTGCTGAGAGAGGCCAAGGGAAAAAACTCTGCTCTCTAATATCAAGTCTCTCTCTTTTTCTTTTATTACGGTAAAACATGTAAGATTTTCCATTTTCACCATTTTTATGTATAACTCAATGGCATTCATTACATTCACAATGTTGTACAACCATCAGCATCAATTTCCAAACTTTTTCATCATTCCACAGAGAAACCCCACACCCTTTACTAATAACTCCCCATCCCTCTTCCCCAGTCCCTATTAACATGTAACCTACTTTTTTTTTTTTATTGTGATTTGGGTGAAGATTTACAGAGCAAATTCACTTTCCATACAGCAGTTCACATATACTTTAGTCTCATGTCATTGACCACAGTTTACCACAATTCAATAGCTCCTCTCCTACTTCCTCCCCATAGTTACCACTTCCCAGTGTCCATCCATACTCTCCTGTCCCCTGAGCTGTCTCCCTGTGCATAAGCAGCCCTTCTTTCTCCCATGATTGTTCTCTCCAAGGAGTGTATCTACTTCAGGTAAAGGTTCAACTCATATGCCTGTATTTTGTTTGGCTGGAAACCACAGGTGTGAGTTCAATTCCAGACCTGAAGGGCAGCTAGGGGCCATAGTCTCAGTGGTTCCACCAGGCTCTATCAGACCAGGAAACCTGGTCCCCACCTTTTTTT